CTTTAATAGATGCAATTAAATATGTTTATACATTGCACTGAAACATTTTGGCTTTCTTTATTTTGATTTTTTGTCCATACAAAAATGTTGGTTGGGTTGCATTGCTTTCAGTTTGTAAGGAAAAATGAGCAAAAACACTGATTTTTGGTCATTTTCAAAGGCCTCCCTACAGGTCCATAGGGGCTCTAGGGGGTCGAGGGGGGGTTTATTAAAAAGCTCGATCCTTCCTCTTTCCAATAAGGGGTCGGGAGGGGGGGTAGCCCCCCCCTGTTTTTCTCCATAAACGATACTTAACCGGCGCGATACTAAATATTCCCCTTTGTCGAATCTGCTTTTTTGAATAGAGCGAACAATTTTTCGTTGAACTTGAGTGCAACCAAGGAAGATCTTCCCTCAACTTCGCCAACTTCAACACCACGTTTGAAGCCAACAAAACGTGCCCGTTTCCCTTTGCCTGAATTTGATTGTAGTGGTCCGCCTATTGTGCCTTCCTCTGGAGGTTTCAGCGGAACAGGTAATATATTCAGATGCTGTATTAATTTTATTTGTGAATCTAAAATTCCATTTACTATACGTATTGAAGCAATAACCAAAGATTCGGCTGAGTTTTCCAAAATTATATGGCGAAAACGATCGATGTGTTTGCATGTAAAGGTGGCCTTCCGTGGTGACTCAAGCCTACCATCTTCGATCAAAGAGCTTGAAACTGCGATGGAGATATTTCGTTATTTTTTCACTAAGAAAATGGTTTTGCTTTAGAATCGAATCGGACAGCTCGCAATGTCAACTCCAAGTTCATAACATCCGGCGAAGAAATTTACAAATACATTGGCATTCATGTTTACATGAGCATTTACCGCTATCTCAATTTGGAAAGCTATTGATGCCCAAATGCGTTTCAACTAATAGCAAAAACGATGCCCAAAGCAAGGTTTATGGTGATAAAACAATATTTATCCTTTCGTGATGAAAACAGTAGAGCAAAAAAATTAGAGCCTGGTTATGATGCGTTGTTCTGTCTGATTTTTTAAACACACGGTTCGATTCCGTACCCAAAACAGCCCGATTGTGCGTCGTTGAAAAAATGTGTGGCACCAAAATAAAACATCATCTACGCCAATACATGCCGAACAAACCACACAAGTGGGGTGTAAAATTATTCGTGTTATGCGATACAAGCGGATTCGCTTATCGTTTCGAGGTTTATTATGGTGCTGGCGACAATGTGATCTTACCAGGACAACCAGATTTTGGAGCCACGTCGAACGTTGTTGTGTG